TAGAGAGAATGGTGCTGCATCCCCTTCCCTCCTGCTCATCCCCTGCTTGTTTAATGAAAATCAGAGACAGCCATTAAAGAGCTGCTTAGCATTTCAATACGTTTAATATCCTCACTGATAAGGGAACGATGGATATTACCAAAAGGCCTTTCTTAAACTCTCCCCTTCTGCAGCCAGTGCTCCCGGCTCGTGTTTGTCTCAATTCCAATTCCAACCCGTCTCATTCTAGGAGGCAAAATAATGATAAGATTATTTTTTTTAATATAAAGGATATTAATACACAGCATTTCTGATAATGACAAGGAAGAAAGGCATGCCAGGCCTCCCCAATGCTGACCTGAATTAATTGGGTGCTGATTGCTCAGCGAGCCAAGGGCCTCCCACAGTCCTACCTCGTCATACAAGCACCATGGCTGGAAAGGACCTCCAGGATCATCGAGTCCAGCTTCTCCCTAACCACTAGACCATAGCCTCAAGTGCCATGACTGATGCCAAGGGCTGACCTTCCCTGCTGGCATTCATGGAAGAAACTGGGCACCCGCCTGCAGCAGTGAGGAGAGAAGCAGCACCCTCTGGTGAAGGGCCAGGTGAGATGTTCAGCTGTAGAATGTTGTGAAAGATGCTGGCTTGATGGCTGCTCCACTGGGGAAGAGGCCAGATGGTGATGGGGATACTGGTGAGCCCCAGGGAGTGCTGGGGTGAGCAGGGAAGGTGTCACTGCCTACTTCTCAAGGCAGGTACCTTGCTGAAAAAGGGACCAACATATGAGTAAAAGAAATACCCCAGGGTGCTGGAGGGGAGGAAAAGCTCGGCGCAGGCTGCCCGGGAGGCAGGGAGGAGGTGAGATGTGGTCCCTGTGATGTCAAGCTTGCTGCCAAGCAATCTGTCCCAGCCCTGGTAAAGCAGAAGGAATTACAGCACTAGTAGCATGGGTGTTGCTCCAGGACTGCTGCATCCATGTAGATCACTTGTTGGCCTGTTTCTGTGTTAGATGCCAGTTTAAAGGGCTCTCCACATGCATTGCTGCATGGGGTACAAGGAATTCACTGGGAATTACTGCTAACAGCTCAGCCTGGGGCACTAAATGCAAGTTTTCAAGCTTTTCTGATGGGTGCCATGGTCATATGAAAATGCAGAGTGGGGATGTACCACCTGCCCGGGTCCAGCACCCTTCCTATCCTATCCTGCTACCACCAGGGCTGTGCTGGGGGTCCAGGGCAGAGAGCTCAGGGCAAGGGGGAAGGCAGTGGGAGCCCAACTTGTTTAATCTCTATTTAAAATTAGCCTTGGATTCAGGGCTGTTGCCTGTGCAAGAGATGGAGGGGGCACAGTGCCTGGTCTTTTGTGGGGGGAAGGTCCTCTCATGACTCCTGTCCTCCCACTGTAGGGTGTCCCTGCTTTGCCAGGAGGATCCCAGAGCTCTCTGCAGCATTGCTTGTGCTCAAGGACCTGCTCAGCTCATCCTCCTCCCACAGACACCTGGTGAGTGGGACAGGGATGTACACGGGGCTTGGGAGAGGGCACCCACACCCCGTGTCTTTCAGCATTCTTCCTCAAGAGGGGGGATAGACGGCAGGGGACAGGCAGATGGACAGGTGACAGGGGGTTACAGGGGCCTGAAGCACAGCTCTGCTCCCTGCCCTGAGCATCCCCTTCTCTGCAGGGGTGGGAGAGGGGGTCCTGGGTCTGCTGGTGGCCCGACACAGAGTGCCACGGGTCCTGGAGATGATGCCATGCCTTCCATGACTGCCACCCGTGCCGCCTGCACCAGCCCTGACCTGGAGACACCTGGTCCTGCAAACACAGGAGAGCAGCAGAGCCTGGACAGGGCTTCCCTGGCCCAGGAGGAGCAGAGCTGCCTCCCCACCAGCCCAGGCACAGATCCCCTCTTGCAGGGCTGCGATGAGCAATCCCTGAGCGAAAAGAGCAACAGCCACTCAGGTCTGAGCTGTGGAGCTGGCAAGGAGGCTGTGGGCTCCCTGGTAAATGCAGGGTGACCTGGGTTGTGCTAAAAGGGGTACAGTTGGGTTTGGTTCCCCTCCTTCGCCCATCCTCCCTGTCTGAGCTGCGCTTCCCTCTCTCTGCAGGCTCTATAAATATCCTCCCCATCTCCCTGACAGCCAGGTGTGGGACCACGTCTGAGGGACGTGGCGGTGGCAAGAGACTCACCGGGGAGCAGGGGCGGCAGCAGGCAGTGAGGTAGGGGAGGATTGGGAGCCTGGGGAGGGATGCAGGTGAGGAGAAGGGCCAGGAGTCCTGGAGTGATGCCCTCTGTGTGCCTGGTTCCTGGGCTGCTGGGGATTCCTGGGACACCTGGTGACCATGTCTGTGGCTGCACGTGGAGCCTGGTGTGGAAAGGGTCTGCATTTCCAGACAGGAGCCTCCCAGGGTTTTCTTGAGGGTTTGCATCCTGTACCAGCTGGCACGCTCCGGATGGTGCCCAGCCTCCAGGCACATGCTCTAATTACACACACGAGGCACATCCTGACCTCAAAACCAAGTGTCCAGTGAAGCCAGGATGCCTTCCTGGCATCCCCCACCTCCCATCGGTGCTCCCCGTGCATGCTCCATTACAGTACCCACGACAGACTGAGCCAGCACCATCCTCCAGCAGGGCTCAGCACCCTGCTGCACCCACTGCTGCGTGCAGCCACCTCAGTACATGTTATCCTCTCTCCCCAGAGCTGACAGTGTATTTCAGAGGCCTCCCAGTGCCTGGGAGGGATTTGGGGCTTACTGTTCTGGATTCATTGTGTCCTGGCTCCTGCAAAGCTGCTTTATGCTCTGTAAGAGTGACCAACCACCACAGCTTCTCTAGGAACCTGGGTCACAAAAATCTGTGGAGAGGTGCAAGATCTGGCAGCTCTGGGCATCTCTGCAAAACCTGGAGGATCCACATTCCTGGGACACGTGGTGCTGGGCTGGCACCAGAGGACTGGAGAGCCCTTGTGGGTGCCTGGGTGGTGCTGGACACCTGCCAGGTTAGCCTCCTGCATTAAAGCATCACACTGGAGTGGGCAACAGTCAGTACTGCAAGGCCCAAGCTCTCTTCTGCTTCCCCAGAAGTTCATCTCCAGAGCCTGGGACTGAGATGGTGGCAGGGTGGATGGTGTCCTTCTGGCAGGGCTGTCTCTGCCTGGGCAGTGGATGGCAGAGCTGAGGGATCCAGCCTTTCATCACCAGCAGAGTGCTGGGTTGAGTAGCAATGCGATAGCTGGTGGAAGATCAGCTGTCCCACCAGCTGCTGAGGTGCAGCCACCACGGCATCAGCACTGCTCTGGGGCTTCCTGCTGGCTGGGTGCTTCAGATGCTTCAGGAAACCATCAGCTCTGACCCCTTTGCTCAGGGGTCCACTGCTTAGCTGCACTCCTGGCCTGACAGCACCACTCAGCCTCTGCCAGTTGCCTTGGGAAATGCTGGTGTTGTCCCCAAGCCATGGCTATGTCCCTTCCTGAGCCACTCCACAAGCCCAGCCCATGATACCACTGATGACAGGATCTCTCCAGAACTGTCTCTGGCTGGGCAGCTTCCCAGGCAGGCAGAGCAAAACAACTTGGAGGAACCTGATGCCCTGGGCCGCTCCCAGGCCCTGGTGATGAGTGGTGCAGCCATGTCTCTGCAGGCACAATCCTCCTCCCTGCTGAATGGGGAATTGTCACCACTGTGCTGGGAGGTGGGCAGGGAGCCCCTCTCACCACAGCGTGTAGGAAGCTGCTGGCAACACCATGGGGTGTCCCAGGATGGGACCCAGCATCTCCAGGGAGCATGCTGGGATCCAGGGTGGCATGAAGGGTGTCTGATACTCTCCCCAAACCCCTCAGCCCACCGAGCAAGTCTTGGGTGAGCTTTATCCGAGGAATAGCCTGGCAGCCAGCAGGGAGAGATGTCCGTGCTTCCTCGTGTGATTTCCCTGGGGGCAGCTGCTGGGAGCAGGGTGGGCTGCACTCACCCATCGGTCCCCTGGCCCCGAAGGCTGGGAGGAGTGAATAACCCCACCACACGTGGCCGAGGTGGAGGTCAGCATCTCCGTGGCTACCGTGGGCAGTTATTAGTGATCGTTCAGCATTTGGATGGGGAAGGAGTCGTGGCCGCTGCAGGGGGTCTGTTGACAGATGCCAAGTGTTTAATGCTGAGCAAGGTACTCACCCTGCTCAGCAATTCCAGCAGCTCCAAGCGAGAGGGATGCAGAGGTTTCCTCAGCAGGGCTGTGGGGAGGATCCTCTGTGCTCCCAAAACAGCACAGGACACCCTGGGACAGCCGCTGTCCTCCAAAACTCTGTTTTTAAAGAGGGTGACCCTCTCTCAGGTGGCCAGAGTGGCTGTAGGCAGGCTGGGTGTTGTCAGGCATGGCCGAGTTGTCCCCTGCCTCTGCTGCCCCAGCTCAAGGGCAAGTGAAGTGTCCTATCCCTGGATGATGTGGCATGAAAAGCCTTGGGGGGGTGGAGTGGGGAGGGGGAAAAGGTTCTGCCTGTCTTCCCCAGTCCCAGGCACGCAAAGGGAGCATGTGCAAGGGGTTTTCCTCTCCATGCACCCCAGGACTGAAGGACAACCCCATCCCCTTCACTCCTGACCCTGACCGAGTGCAGAGATCCCTGCAGGGCCACGGCTCAGGCTGCAAGTTTGACTCTCACAGCAAAGAAGGAAGGGGAGAGTGAGAAGCAGTGGGGACTGCTCCAGCAGCACGAGGGAGGGAGGGAGGGAGGGAGGATGGATGGGTGGATGGATGGATGGCAGGCAGGCAGGCAGCGGGGAGCAGGAGCCCACCGTTCGGAGGCTTGGGCTGGGTACAGAGTGAGCGTGTGGTGCGGGAAGGGGGGCTCGCTGCAGAGCCCACCCAGCCCATTGGCTTGGGCGCGGTGGACGGCCAGGCGGTGCTGCGAGCAATGTGCGCAAAGTGCCTTTGCAACGGCCGGCGAGAGCCGTAGCTCCGGGCGCTCGCTCACCGAGGTGCTGGGACCAACGGGCTGGACCTGTCCCGTGCCCGGTGGCCCTGCCAGACCATGGCATGGGCGCAGAGGGACCTGACATCCTCGCTCTCCATCGTCGTTGCTTTGGCTGCCTGCCTCTCTGCCACCACCAGTGAAGGTAGGAGCCGGGGTGGCCCTGGCGCGATGGGGCGACGTTGGGGGGACCTGCGGGATCTCTGTGTCTGCCTGGACACGTCTGTATGGGCTTGTTCACTCTGCTGGGCTCAGCTTCTCCCTCCTCCCAGGGAAAGGTTCCTGCCTGCCTGACTTTGCTGATCCTAGAGCTTTTGCACCAGAGGCTAAACTTCTGAGCTGGGCAGGAGGACTCGATTTCTGCAGCAGCGCCTGTCAGCTCTGCCCAGCCTCCCCTGCAAGGGCTCTGCTGCAGCGTGCAGGGGTGGATGCAGAGGGGACGGGGACACGGGCACCAGCTCAGCCATGGCGATCCCATCGTCGGAGCTGGCAGCAGCGTGGGGCCGTGCCTGCTGGCCGGAGCGAGCGGGTGGGCACGCAAGAGCGTGCAGAGGGTGCGGGGAGCTGGAGGGGCACGCAGGTGGGAAACTTGCCACAAGGGAAAGGGCTGGAAACTTCTGAAGTGGAAGGCTGGGATGCAGTCAGGGATCCTCTCCCGACATCTTGGGGTCAGCCATGTCCGGCCTGCCACCTCTGCTCGGCCCGAGCACCTTTTTTGTGCGCTCGGCAGGTGCTCTGGTACCCCGGGCCCCTTTCGGCTTCGGCAGCACGGCTCCCGCTGCTTGCCACCCACCCGCTCGCCCGCCTCCTGCACTGGCAGTGGTGGCATGGCTGCTTCCCAGGTCTGCTGATCACCACCCAGAGATCTGCTGTTCCCGCTCCCAAGTGTGTCCTTGGCACCGGCAGCAGCATCCTTCCTCCCTTCTGCTGCGCCTGAGAGCCGTGGCCGACATGGCGCAGCCGTCTGCAGCGAGCCCCAGTGCCGGTGTCCCTACCCGGTGGTGGCAGTGCCATCCCTCCCTTCTCCTGCCCCTGCCTCCCTGCCATCCTGCCAGTACACTGAGGCCCACGGGCCGGCACCGCGATGCCTCGTGCGCTTCTCAGCACCTCACCAGACCAGGTCCTGGTGCCCGTTGCCACCTTCCAACACCCACCCGCACAGGCCCTCCCACCCAGACTGTCTTCCTCACCTGCATGACACGTTTCCAGCTAACTGCTGCTCCTAACTCTGTTTTCTGCCAGCTGTCCACTTCCTGGCACTCTTCCTGCTCCCTTCCCCACTGGCTTTCCTGCCCTTGTGGGAGGATGCATCAGGCTCTCACTGCTGGGAACAGGCTGTGTAGGTACAGGGTGGGACCCCAGCACCCCGACGTCCCCAGCCCTTGCTCTCCCTCCACTCCAGGATGCCCTGTACCCCAGCCACGGGCAAAATGCAGTGCAGGACACTGCCTGCGCTGCCCTGAGCTCTTGGTGCTGGAGCCCTGCAAAGCCAAGCAGCCCTGACTGAATTTGGCTAACCCTGGGCATGGCCAAGCGAGGCTGCGGCTTCTGTGCGTTCCTCCGTGGAGATCGCTGGCTGTTGGGGTGGGTTTTATGGCACCTGTATGGACATCCAGGCCCTGGACTGCTGTCTTCCTGTCCCTGGCTGGGAAAGACCTGGGTTTCCCACTAGACCTTTTGGAAAAGGAAGTTAACCTCAATAACAGCCTCGATCAGGTGGACGTGTGGGACTGGGGATGAGTTTGGGAAAGACCAAGTGGGCTGAATCTGGATTAGACCAGGCAGAAGGTGCTGGGTGCCATCAGGACGAAGCATGGGACCCTGCAGAAAGCTGGTGGTGCTCTGGCTGTCACTGTCCATGATACTCATGCCTCTGAAGGTGCTGGGACACAGCTCTGCCGTGGCACGGGGCAGCCCAGTGCCAGCCAGGCACCGCGATGTGGGCGGTGGAGCTGGGGATGTGGCTGCAGGCTCCTGCCAGCGCCCAGCAGCTCGGGCTGCTGGGATGGGCTGGAGCATCCATGCTGGGGCAGCTCATTGAGCGCCCTGCAACGGGGATGGGACTAGAAACATGGAGAGATGCTGCAAAATGCAGCACAACCCTGGTGCCTCCTGCGCTCTGGTTGTGATGGGCTTTGCTACCCCATTTCTACAGCGTGTGGCACGTGCAGACACAGTGTGAGGGTGTAGCCGTGGTGCACAAAGGTACCTGCTGCTGCTGACCATGACCTCTGCCTGCTGCCACAGCCATAGTGTGCTTCTTGCCAGGCACCTCTGGCCATGCTGCCTAGCAAAACCAACGCTCGCTGAAGAGCTGCAGGGTAGAAAATTACAGCCACAAAGCAAACACAGGGCCAGTGCGTGCTGCACCTTGTGTGCGCGTTTGGGGAGGCAATTGGTACATAAAGACACGTTTTAACCTGAAGAAATGGCATTCGGTCATTTTCTTCCCCTTCCAAGAGCTCCCAGTGCCTTTCCCTTCCTTGAAACATTTGTTCAAAGAAGTTTTCAGCTTATATTTTCCATTCCTTTCAGTCTTGCGTGCAGTGGGTGCCTTGGAAATGGGAGGAAAATGGAATCGCCATTCCATGGGAAATCCCCACATTTCAGTGCAGCAGCCATTGCAAAATGCATTGAAAGCCAAACCTCAGATTTTTTTTTTCTGGACGGATGAAAAATTTGCAGGATGTGGAAGATTTTCATTTGGAGCACTGAAAAAAATTTTGTCTGAAAAGAAATTGCTTTAGAGCACAGAGGTAGAAAAGTTATTTTTGATAATATGAAGCTAGTGTGATAGACTAAAATATCTGCACTATTACACACTGGGTTGCATAAGTAAAAATACTGAAGTCGATATTTTATATGACACCATGAATTGAAGTTAAATAATAGAAGATGAAATATCTTTGTATTGAAAGAAAATCGAACGAGCAGAAATTACAACATTTGGGGCTCGAGCAGAGAGCGACAAAATTGTATTTTCTGCCAGAAAATGGCATTTCAAATGCTGTGGCTGGGGTCTGCTCCCTCCCAGGTGATGCCTCTGGCTCAGCTCTGTCCTCTCTCCATAAGGTAGGCGACCTGCCTCCCCACAACAGCATGGACCCTGTGGCTCACGCATGATCTTGGGTGGTATCTAGGTGGGGGACACGGTACAGCAGGGAAGGGACACCCATGGACATCTCCTGCAGCATTGCAGGGAACTTGGGGATGGACGGGGCAAACCGCAGGTGACAGGGTGATGTACAGTGAGCGTCCTGGGGAGGATGCAGAGCTGATGACAGAGGGATGTTCCCCCTTTCCCCGCACCACGGAGTCGGTGATGGGAAGGTTTTGTTCCTCCATGCAACGGGAATGGGATGTGGGAGACCAGGAGGGTCCTTGGGAAAACCCAGCAGCTTGTTGTGCTGCTGCAACGGGGGCCAGAGGAAGCGTTTGTGGCGACCTCCCCTGCTAATCTCTCGATGGTAATCTCATTAATTGCCCCTCTGCTCAAACAGAAAAAGAGGTAAAAACTCATCTACACATTTATTCAATGCTACTTTTCTACCCCTTCTGCAACACTGAAGTTGGGGCTGCGGGAGAAGCGAAGGTCGGAAAGGGAGAGGAAAAAGGCTGTGTGGATGCACAGGATTTTACAGGATTCCTCTGTAAGAATAGGAAACAAGAGGATTTAGATATATACTTTTTGGTGATGGAGGAATGGAGAAGAATTAGTTTAAAACAAAGAGTTGATGTGGGCTATGTTTGCAAAAAAAAAATTAAAAAAAAATATAATTTTTAGTGTGTATAATTTTTTGATAGCTCCTGAAATGCTGATACAAAGCAAACACTTGCATGATTTTAGGTAGGCTTATGGGGATATGTTTCAGGTCTCATTTCCATCCTTCTTGTCTTAATAGCTTCTAAAACTTCTGGAAAATCGAACCCCCAGATTTGCAGAAAAAAATAACACGACGGCGTACAAAATGCACTTACTCTGTGATCTTTTTTCATTCTCCTGGAGTTCTTGTTTCCTGAAATCGTGAGGGGTTTATTTACAGTGAAAATAAATCGGCACCCATTTTGGTGATGGTGGAAACAGATCCGAGGAATCCAAATTTAAGTACAACTGAAAACCCGATGAATTGCTACAGGCATGAAGGAATTCCCTATTTTTTCGAACACTGAGAAATTATTAGAAAAATATTTCCCCCATTTGAAAAAAAAAAAAACACACAACCAAAAAAACAAACAACAAAACCAACTAATCCGAGCCCCAAAAGATGCTCAGCGAGGGAGGGAGGGAGAGCGGCTCGTCCCACGCGTCCCAGCGGGGTCGGTGCACGTGAACCCCGGCGGGCAGGAGTTGGGGAGCGCTGGTTTCCCCCCCACATCCCCACACCCCCGCTCTTTGTTTCGGTCGGGTCCCGGGTTTCCTCCGTCCCCGCTCGCCTCGCGGGCAGCCTTCGGTGCTGCCTTTATCTCCAGGGGCAAATCCATTCATATGATAACTCTATTCATGCCCTGACAGTTTTTGATAGTTCATTCTCTGAACCCCAGTGTGTTTGCATGACCAACATTCAAAATTATTCCTCTGTCACAGAGAAACGATTAACCCCTTCGGCCCCGGTAGTTCAAAAGTGAGCAACGGGATTGTGCAGTTGCATTTTCTCCAAAAAGGAACAAAAAACTCCCCCCATGTCCTGCCCATGTATATGGATAGTACTGAGGGCCATAAATAACCACAGAGAGGATGTAAGTCCTCTATGGATTGGGTCCAGGCACACCAATAAAGCCTAATGAGCTGTGTTTGTCCTGGGGATACCGCCCAGAAAGGTATTCAACATTTAGCTGAAGACATCGGCAAAGGCAGGACCCATCCCTGACTTTAATAATTTGTTCCAATGGCTCATCAGCCTCAGCCTTAAAAAATTGAACCCCTCTTTTCCCTAATACAAATTTGCCTGGCTTCACCTTCCAGCCATTTGTTCTTGTTAGGCTTTTCTTGCTAGATTAAAACCCCATATTTTTCTGCTGTGAAAGTGCGCTGAGTGTGACCGGGTGCCTCGCACCTCTCATGGGCACAAGCAAATTGGGCTCTGCAGGCTCCCCTCTCTCACATCTTTTTTCCTCCAGCCAGCCCTGATATCATGGTTGTGCCTG